GGCCAGTGATCTCAGGAGGATAAGCATCTTGTCATGGGGGGCAAGGACACAGGGGCTCATGGCAGCTGGATGCCAGGCAGTGAAGCAGAGGTGACCAGGACACCGAGGATGGGGGGCCCGGGCTCAGCAGGAAGACCTGCTAGGCTGTCATCTGTCCCTTTCCAGGCTGGGCCAATGCCCCCAGGAGGCGCAGGGAAGAAGCCTGATGATACAAAAGGGTTGAACCGTACCCCTTCCGACTCATCCCCCATCTCCAAGCAGAAGCAGGCAGGGTGAAGAGGACAGGCAGCCACATGCAGAGAGAAAAGCCAGGGAAGATCAGAGAGACAAGAGAGAGAAAGGGAAAAGAGGGAAAGATTAGTCAACCGCTGCTCCATCCAACATGAGCTTGGTACAAGGTCGTGCCAGGGCCCACAGAGGCCCAGATGCCGTCTCTGTGAAGGGCTACCCCCATGGCCACATCCTGCCCCCTCACACCCCTTCCTTGGCAGAACTTGGTCATCAGACCCCTTCCTGTGCTGCAGCCCTGGGGCACTGAGCCGGGCATGGCCAAGGACAGGGGCTCAGAGCCCCTCCACCTGGCCCGACCAGCTATGTGAGGAGACAATGGGCCAGGCTCACCCACTTCCATTCCCATCGGGGAGGAGAGATGCTCTGTCCCTGACCTCATGTGGCCTCTCTCAACAGCCCGGCCCATCAGCCTGGTGCAGAGGGTGAGGGTGAGGGACCCAGCCTGGGTCTCCCAAGGCCAGAAAGGTCCCAGGCCTCACAGCGTAGCATTAGAGGCAGGACAAGGACTGGCCCTATACTTCCTTAGTTCCTTGGTACTCGGCAGTCAGACAGAGGGGCCTGAATGCTGTCTAGGCCACTCACCACCTGTGCTACCACGGAGGCAAAGGTGCTTAATCTAAACAGGGTCCCCCATGCTCACCTTTGCAGGCAGGTGCTAAGCACAACCTCAGTGTAACCTAAGGCATGTGGCAGGTGCCTTGCACAGGGGGCGTTCACTGAGGGCTCCTTGGAAGATCATCATTAACAACATCACCCAGAGCGGGGGCCCCAGGACGTACCAAGCTGTCGAGGCCTCCGCCAAGAAGGTCCACTGCTCCCATCTGCACTGAGGAGGTGGCCAGGGGCGGGCCGCTCACCGGGGGGCCAAGGTCCAGGTTGAGGAGGTCTCCCAGAAGGTCGCCCTGAGGGGGGATGACGTCTGGCTGCTCAGCAGAGGGGGCTCCGGTGGGGGCCGCCTCAGGGCTCTCTGTGCTCTCGCTCCTGCCGGGGACACAGGAGGGACAGGGTCAGTCGGTGAGAGGGGGATCCTCCACCAGGACAGGCACCGCCACCCTCTCTGTCCTAAGACGGGGCTGTCTACACAGCCCTTCTCCCTCCTCACTCCCTCTTGCCACATTTGATCCATCTTTCAGGCACTCCATGAGTACAAGTTCAAGGGAGTAAGTGAAGGGAAGGCCTGTGTCCCCACCAGTCAGCCCATCCCAAAGAGGACTGGATGCTAGTCCCTGGAGAACTGGGCAACCAGGCCACACCAGCCACTGGAGAGCAGCCAAGGAAAAAGGTGAGAGTAATGTGGTCTCTGGAATTAGACAGAATTGGGCCTGAGCCCCAGCTCTGTCCACCTCTAGCCGTGGGAGGCTGGGCCAGCCACTTAAGCTCTCTATGCCTGTTCTGTCTGTTACGTGGGAACATTCCTCTCAGAGCTGTTTTAAGGATTCAATGAGGTCACAGTAAATGCCTAGCATATATAGTAAGGAGCTCTGGTGGCATAGTGCCTAAGGCATTTGACTACTAACCAGAAGGTTGGTGGTTCAAACCCACCAGCCATGCCATGGAAGGAAGACTGGGCATTCTACTTCTGTAAGATTTACCACCTCAGAAACCCAAAGGGGGTCTCTATGAGTCAGAATCGACTTGATGGCAGTGAGTTTTTCTTTCCCCCATCATGTAGTAAGCACTCAATAGGGAGCTCTGGCGGCGTAGTGCCTAAGGCATCTGACTGCTAACCAGAAAGATGGAGGTTCAAACCCACCAGCCACTCCTCAGAAGGAAGGTTGGCCAATCTACTTCTGTAGTGATACTGCCTCAGAAACCCAAGGAGGGGTCACTATGCGTTGGATCCGACTCCATGGCAGTGAGTTTGTTTTTTCAAAAAACATTCAGTAAAAGTAGACACATAATTTCCTCAGCCTCAGGCCTCGTCAGGGGACCTCACACCAGGCCTGAGCGCCAGCGCTACAGAACTGAGGGCTGTCACTCACGAGGCGGTGCGGGGTGGTAGGCTCTTGTGCACGACGCCCCGGCCTCCCTCCACAAAGGCGCTGGGTGGCTTGTGGTAGACAGAGGCCAGCGTGCCGATGTAGCAGATGAGCTCGTCCAGCAGTGTGGGCTCGATGAGGTCCGTCTCTTCCGAGATGAGCGGCTTCTCGGCCAGCACCACCTCCTTGGCAGCCACTGGGTCGGTGGAGAGCAAGCGCCAGTAGATGTAGCCACGGTCCCGCAGATCTGGGTTATCAGAGTCCTTATGGGGGTGAAGAGAAGCCCTTGGAACTCAACCATGACCCAGGCACGACCACAGGGCTGGTCAACGACAGCAGTGCCTGAGCACTCCTGTGACACTGTCTCTAAACCACTTAAAAGGCTATGTCCCCGGCCCCTGAGCTCATCCCCCAACGGGTCTCCACTCTAGTTCCTGCCTCGAGCAGGCCACGGCCACTCCTGTCTCCGCTTGCCAGACTCTCTTCTATGGTCTGTCCTTCCCACCCCGATCCAAACCCTTTCCACTCTCTGCAGACCTGTCCCCCCTCCATGCAGCCCTGACTGGAAGACCTCACCCTCCTCTGTTTACACGGTCACAGCTTCACCACTTGACCCGCTCCACTGTGATCTGTGTTTGGGACGTCCTAGCCTGACTCTGAGCTCCGTGAACTGGATTCCTCTGGAGTACAACTCCCAGAGGTGCCAGTCTTGGGCTTCACACCAAGGTCTGGTTCCTGGGGCCAAAGCGCCCCCTGCTGGACGCTGGACACCCACCTGAGTGGCCAGACTGAGGACTTGCTGCACGAGCTCCTGGGTCTCCGTGGGCTTCTTCAGAAAGAGTTTCACAATGGCTGTCAAGAGTTGCAGCTGGACCTTCAAGGAGGCAGAGGGTGAAGAAGAGGAAGGAGCGTGAGCTTCATGTGGGAGGAAACTAAACGTGGGCTTTGAGGAAGACAGAACCAAACCAAACCCACTGCCACCAAATTGAATCCAACTCATAGTGACCCCTACTGGGTCTCCAAGGTGGCAAACTTTTACAGAAGTAGACTGCCCCGTCTTCCTTCCCTGGAGCGGCTGGAGGGTTTGGACCACCAACCTCCTGGTTAGCAGTCAGACGCGTTAGGCGCTGCACCGCCAGAGCCCCTGTGAGGAAGACAAAGGACCTGCAAAGCCCTCGCAGCGAAGAGCAGCCTCCCTAGGTGTTGGGATTATTGGGGGCATGGGCTTAGGGAGGGGCTCAGACTGCCCAGCCCTGGGATCCCAGAAACTTGTCAGGGAGGATCCTTAGAGCTCTGGGTCCCATAGTGCCTTAAGCAGTTCACAGTTTTAAAAAGGCAACACGTGTGGCTGGTATGCTTCCTAAGGGGCCGTCCACCAAAAGGAGGAATGGAACGAGAGGCTCTAGGTGGTCAGAACCGTTCCAGCATGACCCTGTGCGGCCTTGCCTCTCACCCAGTCTGCTGCCTGCACCGGAGCAGTCCTTCTGCTGCCCTCAGATGGGTCCACGTTTCCTCTTGGAGCTCACTGCCACAGGACAGCCCACGTTTCCTGATCTCACACTGACGGCAGTCCCGCCCAGCTTCTGCTGCCCTCAGAAGGGTCCACGTTTCCTGACCCTACAGATCTCACACCGACGGCAGCCCCGCCCAGCTTCTGCTGCCTCCCCATCCCTTCCATAGGGGCAGGTCACTGGTACTGAAAAGGTTTTCTAGCTGTGGGCTGTCCTGTGGCAGTGAGCTCCAAGAGGGCATGAATGGTGTCTGTCTTACTCACTCTTGTAGGTACTGCTCAATCTGGTGCCCGATTCATGCATAACAGAACCTCAATAAACACTTGCTGACTGAAAACCTATTTATGTACTAAGAATTCTCTGCGTACAGTCCTACCTTAAGGAGCTCTGGTGGTACAGGGCCTAAGGCTAACTAGAAGGTTGGTGGTTCATACCCACCAGCCACTCTGCAGAAGGAAGATGGGGCATTCTACTTCCATAAAGGTTTACCGCCTTAGAAACCCAATAGGGGTTGCTGTGAGTTGGAGCTGACTTGATGGCAGTGGGTTTGGATTTTTAGTCCTTCCTTAGTCACAGTCTCATTTTCGCCAGCCCTGGGACATGAGGGTAGCCTGACACTCCTGACCAGGACAGTGCCATGAGCCCACGAGCTGTGGCACGGGCAGGTGGGACAGGTGGGTCTGTGGCAGGAGGGCAGAGTGGTAACATGTTCAGCTTCTCCTGGAGCCTGTCTAGCAAGGGGACACTTAGCAAAATTGATGGCTTAATTACACTGGTACGCAGGGTAGGCTGAGAGCGGGAGGCAGAATGGAGGTGTGATCTGTTTCTGGGATTAAGTGATCCAGAATTCTTGGAGCAGTGGGCTGGCTGTCAGCAGTCCAGGAGCTGTGAGTAGACCTGACTCTAGCCCTTGGCTGACGGCCATTTACCTGTGTCTGAAGGAAGAGGTGTGGTCTATTTCAGGGGGTCTTTATGAACTTTGAGAATGGCACTTCATGGTGGCTCACATGGAGCGGGAGTCAGTTCACACCTCAGTTTAACTCTAGGTCTATCACTTCCCAGCTGAGTGACCCTGGGTAAGTCATTTTGTTTCTCTGAGTCTCAGCTGTAAGATGGGTATGACAACAGTACTTCACAGGGTTTATGGGAAGAGTGCTGGAGATAAGCAATGTAAAGAATCTACTGAGCATTTTGCCAACTATGACAGCTGCCATTGCTGCCACCCTCATCATCTCCACTGTTGTCATCACACAGGTACTCTATTGAGTTCTCCCCAGCCCAGGTCTGCTGGCTGCCTGCAATCATTCAAACCTTCAGGGCTGCTGTGCCGCATGGCCCATCACATGCAGCGTCTGCTGCCCTCTGGCGCTCTGGCCATAAGCCCAGGGACCCACTCGGCTCCCTGCTCAGCTTCCCCTGCCCCACATGTCAATGGCCTGTGAGCCTATATGTTTGGGGACAGGCATCCTGCAATGATGTGCAGTCCCTGTCACCCAGACCAGATGGGACAGCAAAACAGAGGCGAGAGGCAGACTGGGCTAATGCACCATCTGGCCAAGACCTTCTGAGCCCTCTGTCCATTGCTAAAGAGGCTGATGGGTCTAGGAGGAGGAGGTTCGAAATCTAAAGTACATTCCCAAAAGTATCAAACAAGTATTCTTGTAAGAGTTTTGAAATGTTTTGTGAACCACAGAGGCAAAGGAAACAGACCATTTAATTAAAACAATCTCCCCTAACATCATCCAGCAATCTTGGCAATAACCCGGTCCTCCAGATGAGGAAATGGCTTGGTGAGTTCAGGGAACACGCTTGAGGTCACCCCTGAATTGGAGAAGGAGCCTGGATTCAAACTTTGGAAGCCCTGGCCCTTTCCTACCTATGCTGCCCTCTCAGCTGCCCGTGCCCGACTTCTCCAGCTGGCTCTTCCGCAGGCTTAGCTGAGGGAAAGCAGAAGAGCCACTCTCCCATGTGGCAGAAACGTCCCCATCCAGGCCGTCCTTTAGGCAGGACCCAACTAGGGGCAACACGGGCCAAGCTCTGCTGCTCAAGGATGAGAGGAGGCTGGCGGTGACAGTGTAGTGAGCACGGTGGCGGGCTGGCAGCTGGACCTGACAGGTGGCAGGGGAGTGCTGGTGGGACTGATCACTATTATTTGTAATGGGCATCTGTTGTTTTTGCCCATCAAGCATCTATCCCATCTTCTGGGAGCAGAAACACTGCCCTTCCTTCAGAGGCTTGCTCTTCTCTCTGTCCCTTCAATCCATGGAGACGGGGGTCAGAGCCACAGTGGCTGGCTCAAAGGTCATGCAGCTAGGACCTGGGACTTCGGCTGGAACTATTGAGAGAAAAAGCTCTCTTTCCACAGAAGTTGCTAAGCTGTGAGGATGGAGCCTGGAACTGCTGACCCCTCATAACCCCACTTGTGGGAGACTGGGACAGAAGCCACCCTAGGGACAGAGACAGTCCTGATGTCACCATCCATGTACCCTCACCCAGGAGTGCTGGAAGGAGGGCGTTCCCTAGGTTGCCACTAACAGGAATCAGTCATTATGGGCTGGGCATGTGCTAAGGACAGAGCACAAAGCACCCCACTGAACCTCACAGCAACAGGATGAGGGTCTGCCCCACCTTATTTCACAACAGAAGGAACTGAGGCTCAGAGAGGTAAAGAAATTAGCTTAAAGCCACAGAGCCAGGAAGTGGCACCAGAGGGGTCTGAACTCTGGAAGCTCAGATTCCAAAGCCCAGGCTCTCACTCACTAGTTTCACTGAACCAAATGGCAGCTGAGACATCTGTGTATACATACAGACTTTTTAGAGGCCCCTGTTCTTGAACAGATAGTTCTCAGTTCACAGAAAAACAAATACAAACGAAATGATGTTCAACCTCACTCATGACGAAATGAAATAAAACTATTCTGTGGTACCCCTGCTATCCGTTAGGCTGTTGTTGTGGTTGTTAGGTGCCATTCAGTTGGCTCTGACTCACAGCGACCCTATGTACAACAGAATGCAACAGTGCCTTGTCCTGTGCTGTCCTCACCATTGGAGCCCGCTGCGGCGGCCACTGTGTCAATCCACCTTGTTCAGGGTCTTCCTTTTTTCACTGATCCTCTACTTTACCAAGCATGATGTCCTTCTCCAGGGCCTAGTCCTACCTTATAATGTGTCCAAAGTATGTGAGATGAAGTCTACTATCCTTGCTTCTAAGGAGCATTCTGGCTATACTTCTTCCAACAGCTTTGTTTGTTCTTATATAATATAGTCCGTGGTATATCCAATATCCTTTGCCAACAACATAATGCAAACGCATCCACTCTTCTTCAGTCTTCCTTACTCATTTTCCAGCTTTCACGTGCGTTATCAAACCAAAACCAAACCCAGTGCCTTTGAGTCAATTCTGACTCACAGCAACCAGGTTTCTAAGGCAGTAAATCTTTATGAAAGCAGATTGCTCAGTCTTCCTTCCGAGGAGTGACTGGTGGGTTAGAACTGCCAACCTTCTGGTTAGCAGTCAAATAAATGCCTTAGGCATTGTGCTACCAGAGCTCCTTTTACACGCATTTGCCCAATGCAGTATGTTGTTTGACTTCTTGATTGCTGCTTCCATGGGCACTGACTGCAGATCTAATGAAAGCCCCGACTTCAGTCTATTCTGTACTTGTCATGATGTTGCTTATTGGTCCTGTTGTGAGGACTTTTATTTCTGTTGAGGTGTAATCCACAGTGAAGGCTGTAGTCTGTGATCTTCATCAGTAAATGCTTCAAGTCTTCTTCACTTTCACCAAGCAAGGCTGTGCCAGCTGCTCATCTGCATTATCACAGGTTGTTGGTGAGTTTTCCTATAATCCTGATGCCGTGCTCTTCTTATATGTAGTCCAGCTTCTCGGATTATGTGTTCAGCATACAGACTGAGTAAGTACAGTGAAATGCTACAACCCTGACGCACACCTCTCCTGATTTTAAACCATGCAGTGTCCACTTGTTCTGTTCAAATGACTGCCTCTTGAGTTATGTACAGGTTTTGCACGAACACAATTAAGTGTTCTGTAATTCCCATTCTTTGCAATGTTACCAATAATTTGTTAAGATCCACACAGTCGAATACCTTTGCATCATCAATAAAACATAAGTAAACATCTTTCTGGTATTCTTTGCTTTCAGCAAAGAGTTGTCTAACACCAGCAACAATATCCCTCATTCCATGTCCTCATCTGAATCCGGCTTTAATTTTTGGCTGTTCCCTGTCGGTGTACTGCTGGCAACTGTTTTTTAATTATCTTCAGTAAAATTTTACTTTACGTGGGTTTTAACGAATGATATTCTTAGATAATTTCTGCCTTCTGTTCGATCATCCTTTTTTGGAATGGGCACAAATAGTTGGCCAGGTAGCTGTCTTTCAAATTTCTTGTAAAAGACAAGTGAATGCTTCCAGTGTTGCATCCATTTGTTGAAACATCTCAATTAGCATTCTGTCAATTCCCGGAACCTTGTTTTTCACCAACGCCTTCAGTGCAGCTTGGACTTCTTCCTTGAATACCATCAATTCTTGATCACGTGCCACTTCCTGAAATGGCTGAATGCTGACCAATTCTTTTTGACACAGTGACTCTGTACTCCTTCCGCCTTCCCTTGATGTGGCTTGCATTGTTCAGTATCTTGCCCATAAAATCCTTCAATATTGCAATTCAAGCCTTGATTTTTTTTTTTTTCAGCTTGAGAAATGCTGAACATAACCCACCCTTTTGGTCTTCCAACTCTAGGTTTTTGCACATTTCATTTTAATAGTTTACACTGTCTTCTCAAGCTGCCCTTTAAAATCTTCTGTTCAGCTCTTGTTTCATCGTTTCTTCCATTCACTTTAGCTACTCTACATTCAAAAGAGAAGTTTCAGAGTCTCTTCTGACATTCATTTTCTTCTTTTCTTTCTTTCCTGTCTTTTTTAACGACCTTTTGCTCTCTTCATGTATACTGTCCTTGATGTACCCCACAACTTGTCCGGTCTTCATTCATTAGTGTTCAATGCACCAAATCTATTCCTGAGATGGTCTCTAAATTCAGGTGGGATATACGCAAGGTCATACTTTTTTTTTTTTTAATTGTGATTTGGGTGAAAGTTCACAGAGCAAATTCATTTTCCATACAGCAGTTCACATATACTTTGTCTCATGACACTGACCACAATTTACCACAATGCAACAGCTCCCCTCCCACTTCCTCCCCATAGTTACCTCTTCCCTGTGTCCTTCCCTCCATGCACTCCTGTCCCCTGAGCTGTCTCCCTGTGCAAACATAGCCCTTCTATTCTCCCATGATTGATCTCTCCAAGGAGTGTATCTACCTAATGTAAATGTTCACCTAATATGCCCATCTTTTGTTTGGCTGGAAGCCACAGGAGTGCATTCAATTCCAGACCTTAAGGGCAGCTAGGGGCCATATCTCAGTGGTTCCATCAGGCTCTATCAGACCAGCAAACCTGGTCCTCAAGGTCATTTGGCTCTCATTTTCTTCAGCTTCAACTTGAACTTGCATTATGAGCCATTGATGGTCTGTTGTGCAGTCGGCCCTGGCCTTGTCCTTACTGATGACACTAAGCTTCTCCTTATCTCTTCCCACAGATGTAGCTGATTTGATGCCCGTGTATTCTATCTGGCAAGGTGCATGTGTATATCACCAGTTTACGTTGTTGAAAATTCAAATTTGCAATGAGTAAGTCCCTGGTCTTGCAAAATTCTATCATGCCACCTCCAGCATTGTTTCCATCACCAAGGCCATATTTTCTAACTACATTTCTAACTTCTTTGCTTCTAATTTTCATATTCCAATCACCAGTAATTATCAATGCATCTTGATTGCATGCTCTGTGATGTTCCAGGTTGGTGAGTAGTGAGGACATGCGTGGTCTCACATACTTGGGACAGATGATGATGTTGTTGAGTGGATTCTGACTCACGGCGCTCCCACGTGTGCAGAGTAGAACTGCTCCACAGGGTTTTGAAGGCTGCAACGCCTCAAAAGAAGCTCATCAAACCTGTCGTCTGAGGCCTCTGGGTGGGTTCTAACCGCTGACTGTTCAGCTAGTGGATGGGTGCTTAACTGTCTGCGCCACTCAGAGATGGCTGGTACAACCTCCACACCAAGGGAAATCGGACAACTGCTATCAAATTCTCAACTGTGCATGCTCCTTCCCCAGGTGTTCCACTTCTGAGAATCTCCCCGCCAGATATACTTGCACACGTGTGGTACACAAGGTTATTCATTGTAAAACGTTTAAAAGAGCAAGACTGTACACTTCAGTATCCATCAAGGGAGACTGGTTAAATGCAGCATGAGACCTCTGCTCCATAGAACCCTATGCAGTTATCAAACAGGAAGGAGGCTTCTCATAAACTAATAATGGGATGACCTTCACATTTTTAAGTGAAAAAGGCAAGATGATGGACAATTTGAATTTGTATAGTATGCTACTAGTAGTGCTTAAAAATAAATGAAAGGGAAATCTATATATGTGTCTGTATATACATGTATTTATCTGTGTAGACACAGACACACACACAGATAGGTACGTATGTGTGTGTGTTTGCTGCTGTATTCCTAAACTGTTTCTGGAAGTATCCCCAGGGAGGGGTGGGTGGTGGGTGGCTGGGGAAATCTGTGAGAGGGAGGAATCTTTTTCTATCTTTAAAACTGCAAATCGAGTCAACGCACGCCCTACTGAAAGATAAACAGAAAATTAAAACAAGACCAGAAACATCTGACTGGTATGATCTCTGTTGTTGCTGTTGCTGCCTTCGAGTGGATTCTGACCCAGGTGACCCCATGTGTGCAGAGCAGAACCGCTCCATGAGGTTTTCAAGGCTGGCCCTTTCAGAAGCAGATCGCCCAGTTTGTCCTCTGAGCACCACTGCAGACCATCCTCCCGTGTGCCACTTCTCTGTCCACACGGTCTGTGCATGAGGAGGGCAGGACTCTGAGGCCCGCCGGCTAACGGCAGGACAGCTGTGGCAGTGCCAAGCCGCCCGTCAGACCCACACTCTGGCTGGGAGGACCCCATGCTCCAGCTCACCTGGGTGCTCTCATCATGGAAGCCCTCGAGGAAGCTTTCCAGTAGTTCATCGGCGTTGTCGATGCGCTCTGCGTACTCGCCCACAATCCAGATCATGGCAGCCCGGGCCTCAGGCTCATCCAGGGAGTCTAGGTTCTCGCACAATGTGGCAATCACGCTCTCGTACCTGGGAGACCAGGGCACAGCTGGCCCAGAGCACTGCAGGAGCCAGGCAACCCCAGGAAGGCCCAGCAGGAGCCCGGAGAGGCAGCTGGCTCTCCCAAGACCCCGGAGGGTGATGAGTCAAGGGCATGTGAATGTCAGCTATCAACTTTGGTTCTTATTTTGCCCTAGGGAGCAGAGCAGCAACTTAGGGGAAATAAAACAAACCAAGAGGTGTTTTTCTTTTGGAAATGCTGTTTGTGGCAGAGAAGTAAGGAGGAGGGAAGAGGTCCCCCCCCATTCCTGTCCCCAAGCACTGGCAGATCTTCCTCATGAGGGGACAGGGCACACACTTGTTGGGGTACTTGCGGAAGATGTCTTTGATGACCACGATGGCTTCCTGGACCACGTAGTTGACCTTGGTCTGGATGAGATCAAGCAGTGTGCTTACACAGCGCTCCGCTGATTGCTGTGTGGAGAGCAGAGGCAAAGAGGGTGTGGGCAAGGCCTCTGCTCCCCATTTCCAATAGGAGTTCTAACGAGCACGTCTTGGCCAAGGGCTCAAAATCACTCTTGGCCCACCTTCCTCATCACAGAACAGAGAACATGTTCCTCAGGTAACAGGTAGGAGAACAGGTACGAAATGATGGGCCTGGGATCCCAGGGACACAGGGAGACGGAACGAGGCTAAGGAGAAGGTCAGAGGCGGGGCTTCTGAGAGTGGGGAAGTCTGTGGCTGCTCCAGGCCGAGCCTTTTCAGGCATCCTCTGCAGAGCCCTGAGGGCAGAGGGTCTATGTTCCGGAAGCCTGACTCCGCTCACTCTTCCCTGCTTCAAAAAATAGGCTCTTGGAAACTGAACAACACCCTCCTTAAAAACAACTAGGTAACAGGAGCAATAAAATTGAAATTAAAAAATTCCTCGAATCAAACGAGAATGGAAACACAACATACCAAAAGCTTTGGGACACAGCAAAAGCAGTGATCAGAAGCCAATTTATAGCAATAAATGCACACATCAAAAAAGAAGAAAAAGCCAAAATCAACACCTTAACCCAACATCTCCAACAATTAGAAAAAGAGCAGCAAAAAAAATCCTGCAGTCACCAGAATAAAAGAAATAATAAAGGTAAGAGCACATTTCATTCATTTATTTATGAAACAGAAAATAGAAAGACAATAGAAAAAAATCAAGTTGGTTTTTTATAAAATTGACAAACCACTGGCAAACTTAACGAAGGAAAAAAGAGAGAGAATACAGATAACACCAATAAGAAAAGAACTGGGTGATGGCACAACAGAACCAACTGAAATAAAAAGGATAACATTAGATACTATATGAAGAACCATACCCCAACCAATTTGAAAATCTACAAGAAATGGACAGATTTCTAGAAACATACTACTTCCCTAGACAAACACAGACTGAAGTGGAAATTTTGAACAGACCCATAACAAAAGAAGAAATTGAACAGGTCATAAAAAAAATTACCAACAACAAGAAAAATAGTTTCTCGTGATCAAAAACACTGAGAATGTCTCTGCTTGGGGCCAGCCCTCTTCTCCCTCAATTCAGCACACTGCACTAATGTCCTGATGCCATGACAGATGGCAAAGGGAAACATCTCATGGGCCTGGGGTGACCAGCTGTCCCAGGGTCCCCTAGCCACCAGTGGACTGGGTAAAGGAAAGTCTGGCTCAGGGGTTAAGGAACCTCCCCACAGGTAGAGAACAGGAGGGGATAAAATGCTGGGACATGGGTTTGGAGTAACCTAAGGGAACTTGGAGAAAAGGGGCACATGGTCAGCTGACTCATGACACATGCCAAACATTCACCAGGCAGCTATTGCCAGAAAGCCCCAAGAAGTGGAAGGTAGGTCTGCCGGGACCGCCACTTGCATGCGGCTGCCCCATCATCTCAGCTAATGGTACAGGAGAGCCCATGATGATGATGGACTACCTCAATCCACAGCAACTGGAAGGCCTAACAGAGATTACAGAGCAAGAAGGGGTCCAACCAGATCTGGAAAACGGGGGCCTCAGGGGCGACCCTCAGGCCCTCCTGGACGCAGGCAGATGAAAGATTCTGCTAGAATCAGCTGGTCTCCTGGTTTCAGCTCTGTCCCTCCCTCCTCCAGCTGAGGCAGAGCCCCAGGGCCTCACCTCCACCTTGATGGCGCACCGGCCAATGGCTCGCACAGCCTTCCGTACAAAGTCCACATCTACTTCTGTTGCATACTCCTTCAGCTCTGCCAACACCTGGGGCCCGAAAAGAGAAGAAGGGGATGGATGGGGTTTGGCAGGGCAACCGTTTACAACTTGCCTGGGCAGTGGGTACGCACAGACTCCTAGCAGGATGGGCTGTGGCCTGTGATTGAAGTGCAAGGCCCAAGGGGAGGGAGAGGGCTGCCGGGTGCCTGGAAGCAGTTGGTAGGGCCAGAACACCCTTTCTTCAGTTGCTCTAGCCGACACATCAATCTAACTACCACTTTTCAAATGGATGGATGCAGGTGATTGATAATAGGGAGAAGAAATTGTTCGGCAACAAAATATCAGCTACCATTTGCTGAGTGCTTACAGGCTGTGCCCTGTGCTGGCACTCTGCATGAGAAGAAGCCATTAACAGTGCCCAGAGATGATGGCTCACCACTGGTGAACCTGACACCAGATCTGTGCCCCCCCCACACTGCTGACCTGGGCGATGTTGGCCTGGGAGGCCAGGCGGATCATGATGTCCAGCTTCTCCAGCTTCACGTAGATGGGGTCATTGTACTTCACAAAGAAGACCTTCATCTCGTGTTTCAGGATCTCAGGCCTAGTGGTGGGGCGGGGTCGCCCGGAGAGCAAGAAGCAAGGCATAAGCCTGTGGGAAAACCCCTTCACATCTGCTGGGACACTCCTGCTGGGGCCTGGGGTGGAGCTTGACATCATGAAGGCAGAGTCACGGTCAGAGCTGCACACTCCTGAGGGCCCACTGACCTCTCTGAGCTCGGTTCCGCGTGGCCACTGTGTCCCCGACCGCATCACAAGAAAGGAAGGAGTGCAAAAAGAGGCTGTGCACATTCGAGAGGCAGCCAGCACCAGGGGCACAGGCTCGGCAATCAGGCAGGTCTCAGTTCCAATCTCTGCTGTGACCTCAGGCCTCTGTCTCCATGCCCGTGAAGTGGGAATGACACTACGCAGGAAAGAACCTTCTATCCTTAGAAAGGCCTGGATCTGGGGAGCTGTTCCCACAGTTCCCTAACTGATAGGAGTGAGGAACTGTGCTCAGATACTGTCTGTGTAATCAACATGGCTTATGCTGAAACACCTGCTTTCCTGCTGGGAGTCTGGAATTTTGGTGCATGCCAGGCAGAGAACGCCTATATGATCGGTACCCCTAAAACCTTTGGGCACCGAGTCTCAAATGGGCTTCCCTGGGTAGAAACATGGCACGTGTTGCTGCACTTTGCTGCTGAGGGCAGAGTGCTCAGTGTGACCTCTATTGGAGGGCTGAGCACAGGGTGCCTGTGCATAGATCCTTCCAGACTGTGCCTATGTCTTTTCCTTCGTGATTCACCTGTGTATCCTTCCTTGTTACAACAGATCTTAGCTGTAAGTACAGCTATATGCTGAATCCACGAGCCTTCCAGCAAATCTCTGAAGGTGGGGGGTCCTTGGGGACCCTAGGCACAAACCCCTACATAATAGGAATACTGTGAGAGTTAGGTACAAAGAATTCAGCATGAGCATGATGCCTGGCTCAGAGAAGGTGCTTGCTACCCAGGCACTACCACTGCCATTGTTCCTGCCTCAAAGGCACAAGTGGTACCACCAGCCCTTTCTCCTTGGATGAGGAGACCTCAGAGAGGTTGAGAGGTTTGCATAATGTCACACAGCTGATGCTAATAAGAAAGAGAACAATGAGTCACCACACCCTGATTCCTGTTTCTATGCCCTTTCCAGAAGAGACAGGAGGAAGGAGAAGGAATGGAGATTCATGGTAGGGAAGAGACAAGACACAGCAGAGAGAAAGGAGGTACCCTGGCACAGTGCTACTGTGCCCATGGTGGGAAGGTCCTGGAAAAGCCAGGAGTCTTTGGTGTGTCCTTTGGGGGAGGCAAGAACCCAAGCTGTGCAACAGAAGATGGCATTTCTGCAATCAAGTCTTGGCCAAGGCAGCCTGACTGTAAGTCAGGATAGGATCAGGAGTGCCTCGGAGACATGGACAACTTACTACGAGATCTGCTATGCCAAAAACAGCATAGAAAGCTTTCACCCTGATCTGGATCTTTAAGTCACCACAGCTTACCACATCCCCCTACACTGCAATTACGAATCCTCATCATAATCCCATTAGTTAGGCATTCAGGAAGCTTTCCCATATATACTCCTAAACGTCCCTGTGGAATCTCTAGGCCCCAAAGAGTGTACTACAATAGCCAGGAGCGTGCGCTGTCTTCCAAGAGAATGACTAGGACAGGATCCTGTTCTCACGTATCCCTGCTCCCAGCCACAGGGCTTGCTGTAAGGTACAAGTGCTCACTAGTTAGTTACTGAACCGACCGTATGTATAGGTTGGGACAGAATGCAGGAGCCCAATTCCACACCAGAGATGCAGGGCTCCCTTACTGCTGTGGAGGAAAGGAGGTGGCTGTTCCAAAGTTGTCCTGCTCTGGGCCCCTCGGAACCAGTGCTGCTCCACTCTTCTGTCTGCATCTCCCCTCTTCCCCATCCCCTCGGAACAGCGGCTCATCTCCCCTCTTCCCCATCAGGCCCATCCCCTCGGAACAGCGGCTTGCTGCTGCACTCCTCACAGGGATGAGGGGAAGGAGATGTACAACACTCCAGGGGACTTGGATCCACCCCTCTCCCCCAGGCCTGAGGCGGGTGCAAAGTCTAAGGGTTCTTCACCATCTTGGAGTCCTGAACCTCAGGGAACTGCAGCTACGGACTCTGTCCCCAGAAAACACCTACAAACCGAATTTTATACACCATTTCAGCAGCCTTGGAAGCCATCACCTGTCTGTGGTCAAGAACCTTGACTCCAGCCTTTACCTAGCCTATTGCCTGGTTAGGTTAAGCCTAGGAATTAGGTTTCTAGGAACTCAGGTTTCTAGGAACTCTGGTGGCATAGTGCCTAAGGCATTTGACTGCTAACCAGAAGGCTAGCGGTTCAAACCCACCAGCCGCTCCTCAGAAGGAAGACTGGGCAATCTACCTCTGTAGAGATACTGCCTTGGAAACCCAAGGAGGGCTCGCTATGGCTATGAGTTGAATCCAACTAAATGGCAATGAGGTGTTTTTTTGTACTACTGACATTTTGGGCCAAACATTGCCTTGGGGTGAGGGATGTCCTGTGCATTGCAGAATGCTGAGTAGCATCCCTGGCCTCTATGCACCGGCCACCAGCAGCCCCTCCTCCCCCTAAGCTGTGACAACCAAAGGTGTCTCTTGATATTGCCGAATGTCCCAAACTGTCCCTAGCTGAAAACTGAGGGATTAGGCTCCTCTTCAAGACATCCTGACTAGGGACAGGTTAGTCCCCTTCAGCAGCCACTGTTCTGTAGGAGGCTGTCCCCAGAGCGCACGCTGCAGGTGTGTGCGGGAGCCCCGTTACCTTTTCTGCACGATGAGGTTGATGTTGCGCAAGGCCACGTACTGTAGCTCCGGCTCGGCCGACAGCAGTGTGACCAGGGGCGGGGCCAGCTTCTTGAGCAGCGTGCCGTAGTAGTCCAGGTCCTTGGACAACATCTCCATGAACTTCATTAGTACCTTCACGGCAGACAGCACCACAGCAGAGTTGGCGTGGGACAGTCTGGGGGTGACCCGCTCACAGATGCTGGGGTCCATTCCAATGGGGCAAACAGGACAGACAAACAGAGGAAAACATCCTGCTTTTAGTTATCAACATATCACGTCTCCTGCAGGAAGAAGTTCTAGATCCTGGTTCTGCTGCTAACTGACCCCAGGCAAGTGACAGCTATCTGAGCCTCATATGTAAAATGGAGAGGATACTGCCTGCTTCAGAAGGGTGCTGAAGGCTTAAATGAGATGATGTGTGTACAGCACCGTGGTGGTTAAACTGCGGGTCAACTTGATGGGCCTGGTTTTGAGTGGCTGGGCAGCTGGATGCAGTATTCCCCGTAGTGAAACTGGTAACCAACTCCATGGTGGAATCTACCGGAGCAGCTGAGTAGCTGCCTTAGGGATGTGGTCTGCTTCCAGGATACAAGGAGACAGCTTTGAGAAAGGTCTCTGAGCTTCTTGGTACACTCAGAACAGCATGTGGCTGAGTCTTCATCTCAGTGCCCTGCCATGTTCTCTGCTAATCTTCGGACTGTGCCATTTTACTTCTCGACCTTGGGTTTGTCAGCCTCAGCAGCCAGCAGCTGCCTGAGTTAAGCAATGCCTCCAGTTCCAGTGGCCTGGGAGCAAGAGGCAGAGCTGAAGCCCAAGGCTGAGGGGCTTCACCCAGAACTAGTACTTTGAACTTGGACTTCTAGCCTCCTAAACTGTAACAGAATAAATCTCTATTTGTTCAAACTACCCACTTTCAGGTATTTTCTGTTAAAGCAGCACTAGAGAACCAAAACAAGTACCTAGCACAAAGCGGACATCCCAGGCACAAGCATTGGTCTCTGCTCACCTGGAGCAACAGAGGAAGGAGAGTCAGGAAGAAGAGGAGGCTATAGAATGTGTGGCTAATTGCCTCCATGAACAACTGCCTCCTGTGCCATAAGAAGTGGATGGTGCCCAGCTACCACTGCTGCACATTTTGATAAAAAATTCTATATAAGAATCCTATTCAAAAGGGGGAAAATGCAGAACAGGATTTCAAAGTTTCAAGGATTCCAGATTTTCTGTAGCCAAGAGGGTTGGATGAACACATGAAACTACCGCCTCAAGACAATCTTTAAAATTTAACCCAAAAACATCCCCAGAAGTCTTCTTAAAAGCAAACATGAGTTTAGCTTACCTAGTAAAAAATGCTTGCCTTGAGGACTACGCTCTTTTAAGAACTATCTGTATGGGATCATATTTACCACAGCAACTTGAAAGGTTAAGATAGGAAGCTTAGGGAGGCAGTGAGTGTATGTCAGTGGAGGAAGAACAGCTTGGAAAAGGAGTGTGAGAATGGTTGCACGACTCAGAGAATGTCACCGATGTCAATGAATTGGTCACACGTAGAATCTGCTGATATGGTGTATGTTCTGTTGTGCATATTCTCAGCAGCAAAAATAAAATAAAAAAGAAAGAAAGAAAATCTTATGGCATTTTCCTCTGTGACACATGGGGTCACAATGACGAAAGTAAATAAAATAAAGCACTCAGTACAGTGCCTGGCATGTAGGAAATGCACTATAAATGTCAACTCCTCCCCCTGCTACTGCTGGAGTGTTGAAAACTGGCAGGCTGGTTGGTTAAGATCCACAGTCAGTTGAATCCCAGCTGGTGACCCTCCATGTCTCCAAGCGGGACTGCCCTCCTCTGTAAAAGGTAAAAATGATGACAGGACCTCGTTCACAAAGTGGCTTTAAGGATTAACTAATGCATGAAAAATTCTCAGCAGGTTGACTTCTCAGTGAGAAGTCAATAAGTGGTGGCTTTGATACTATCAAACTTTACTCAGGCTGAGGTGCCTAGGGACTCCTCTCTGTCAGCTCCAGAAGCCATGGCTTCTGTAAGTGCCTACAGTGAGCAGTAAGCTGACTGCCCAAAGCAGAGTGCATGCTACTGACAGCATGGCTCTGGAAAGCCAAGAAGCTACAGGTCTAGAAAGACCTACAAGGAGAACACCTACCCCAGGGAGATGCACCCTTAGATCAGTCAGCCATGAGACATCAGAGGGGCAGCATTCACATAGAGGGAAAGCTGGACAGAGAGGAATGCACAGACAAGAAGGGCACAGGGAGGAGGTGGTCACGGGGAGGAGGGGGAGGAGAGGCAGGAGAGGCAGGAGAGTTTTTATGGTCCCGGATTGTAATCAGGGATTGAAATCAAACGTGCATGAACTGTTCAATGTAAAACAAATCTGCTTTGTAAATTTGCACCCAAAGCACAATTAAAACAAAAAACAAAAAACACAGAAGCAGCAGCAGCATGAGATGTGTCTGAGGATGGTTTGTGCAGAAAGGCCTGGAAGGGCCCACCGGAGGCCGGAAGCCCACTCACTGTTCGGGTGCTAAGGACCAGGCCGTGCTGGGCTGGTGAGCCAGGGGCCACCTGCTCACCTCTGGGCCTCGCGGTCGTCCTTGGGCATGTAGTTGGCCAGGCAGTCCAGGATGAAGATCTGGCCCCACTCGGTGCACTCGTTCAGGGCGGTCAGCAGCTTGTTAATGGATTGTGGGTTCAAGTCGAGCAAGTTGCTGCTGGGGTGAGACTCGGCAATCTCTGAGAGGGCAGCCACGGCATTTGCGACCACCTGGCGAGAGGGTGGGAGGGGCGGAGGCCGGGGTACTGCATGTAGGTGGGGGGGCGGGGCTATTCACTCCCCTCCCCGACTAATGCTGGCCAGCCAGAAGGTACATATCCTGCAGGGAAGATGACCAACGGACAGGGGCTGGAGCAGCCCCGAGACCCGATCCTAGCACTCACCCTACTGACTCCTCTGTAAGTTGGGATTGAAGTAACCGTGCTACCATTTAAGAAAAACAAGCGGGAAGTGAATGGAGGGCAGAGGCCTGCCAGGTGATGCTCGGGGCCCTCAACTCGCTTTCATGAGAATGTCAGTTTTTGCATGTGTTCCACAGTTTCCACTTTTCCCCACGACAAAGTGTTACAATGCCCATCCCTGTTCTGGCCACTCCTGCCTGTGTGGGATCAGAGTATCTGTAGGGTAGAGCGGGAACGGCCAGGTTGAGGGGCTTGTGCATTTCATTTTTAACAGGCCCTGTCACATGGCCTTCAAAAGGCTGCCAGTACTGTGTGTGTGAGGATACTGGGACACCCACTCCGCCACATCCCAGGGCCCTGTCTTCTAGGCTATGCTACTTCCAGAGTGAACCTTTACAGCCCTGCAAGACGTGGGCAGAGGGAAAAGGGCCTCCCATTCATAGCCAGTGATCTCGGTGAGAAGACAGTGATCATGCCCGAGGCTGGAAGGGCCAAGAGGAGGCACTAGACTCGACTGCACACCTGCTGGGGCTGTGGGCCAGGGCAGCAGGGCCCTTTACCTTCACAGGCCTCCCAGCAATCCTCCCCGCTACGCAGAATGAGACCCACCTTCCCGATGGAGAAACGGGGGCTCTGAAAGGCCAGGCAGGAAGTTAGGGACGGCAGAGACGGGAGTCCAGGTCTAGCTCATTCCACTGCAGGTCAGGAGCACCGTGAACCCACCCAGCATGGCCCTCGTTTCCAGAACTGGAGAACTGCTTGGCAGAAGGTCAAGACAACCTCTCCCAGAGCAACTCAGGACGTGGCAGAGGTGGCACGATGGGCGTGGTGGGGGCTTACCATGGGGTTCGAGTCAGAGATGAGGTCTTTCAGGGTGTCCAGGAAGCCCTGGTCCTCCACCAGCTGGGCGTTAATATCGTGAAGCTTGGCCACGCACACAGCTGCCGTCTTGCGCACGTAGGGATCCTCATCCTTCAGGCATTTCCGGAGGGGCTCGCACAGGTATTCTGTGATCTTGTCAACGCGGATGCAGCCCATGGTCCGCACAGCCAGGGCTCGGATCAGAGGATTGGGGTCCTCACAGTCCTGAGGAGGACCAGCTATTGGTTGAGGGCAGGATGAGCCATGTGTGGCTTCAGATTCTCCCTGGCCTGCTCACATTAGGAGTTCTGAGCTCATTCGGGCTGAGCAACATCAGACAGCTGCTATGGAATCTCCCGTCAAGCGCAGCAATGGTATGAAAAGTAAATGCCATGTTAACGGTTACCTAGCATACGCCAGATACTGTGCGGGGGCTTTGTCTATCCTCTCCTTTAACCCTCACGGCACACACACCACACTGGCTCTGCTGTGCTGATGAGGAAGGCTGGGAGCGGGTTCAAATTCACAGACTGGAGCCATCACTCAAACCCACATCCACCTAGCACCACCTGCAATCTTCCCACTGGGCCACAGAAGCCCTTACTTCCCCACCTCTGAGCATCAGCAGGATGGTGGAGCTGGGGTTCTAAAGGCAAGCACAGCTAATGAGTCAAGTCCCCACCTGCTCCTCAGTCTGGAGCAGAGACATGTAGAAAGGAGCAGAGTCTACAAGGGCAACACAAAGGAGGAAGGGCAGCAGTCCACCCCCAGAGGTGTGAGGGGATACTGGAGGCTTGGTGCGACCTCACATGGAATGCACTGAGCACTTGGTTCTTTGGAGAGAGTGGGGCACATCACTGTAGGAAAGGGCCCTCGGCTGAGTGGGCTGGGTAGGCGGTCTAAGGGCCTGGAAGGGAGCCTGAACGCTTCCTCCAAGGGCCACAGCTGCCCCACCCCAGGAGACAGGGGAAAGGTGGAGCGGTGAGCACCCTGTGCCCCCTCCCACCCAAATCGCCCTGACCTTCACAAAGGTGTTGACGGCCATAATGGCCATGTCGGGCTGACTCTTGGCGTAGTTCATCAAGTACAGGTACACCAGCTTCTTCAGCTCCAGGTTGTCCGTCTGCATACAGTTCACCACGTCGGGGAAGAGGGCACTGAAAGGGCCAAGGGGCATCAGCAGAGGGTGAGGGCAGGCTGATGAAGCGAGAGGGAGATTCTTCAGGAAGCTCATTTTGTGGAAGGGGGGAGCAGTGGGTAAGAGGGAAGGAAAAAGAGATACTAGGACTGCTTAGTAAACAGCAGGGCATCAGCTACACTCTGTTACCACAAATACCTCCTGCTAGAAATGAAATTCCAAAGAGGTGAGTCTAAACCCAAACACATTCCTTTGTCCTTTCCATCACAGGGTTCAAACATGAGCTCTGGAGCCCATCAGACCCAGCTCAAGCCCAGCCCTGCCTCCTGCTATCTGTATGATGGGAAAATTCCTTCACCCCAAATTAGTTCGTTCATCTGTAAGGAGGATGTCACAAAAACCCGATTTACAGGCCCTTGTGACAATAAAATCAGACAACTCAGGTTGTCTGTCCTGATGTCTGGGAGGTGCTGAGCAAATGAAAAAGATTATTTTCTCCTCCTGGTGTTTCACATGGCCCCTTACACCGGGCGGCTGGTTCTGGAGGGTATGGCGAGAAGCAGGGATGGGTCTGTGCGGTTTTCACCGCCAGGGCCGGCACGTGCTCAGACCCAGCACCAGCATGTGTGGTGCACACGTTACAGGCCAGGCTTCGCGCAAGGGGCTTTACATACTTGATTTCATTCAACAGCCCTGAGAAGCCAGGGATCAGCCCCATATCACACAAGAGAACTCTGTGGCTATAACCCACCTGAGGAGCCTGTGTCCATGCCTGTTACACTGGCAGAGCCCTTCCCAGCATGCACCCAGTGGTCCTACGCACAGGCCCTGCCATGGTGTGCAATGTGGGTACAGATTTAGCTTCTGTCTCTGGAAGTATCACCTCACCTCTTCATTCTTGGGCTTTTATGGGCAGGGACATAGTGACACAGAGACTTAAGAGGTGACCTTCCTGAGCAGGGAGGGGGCTGCCCACCTGAGTACAGCTGAAGCTGAAACTGATGCATCCCCTTGGAAAATGATGCACCAGGAAGAACGGGGAGCGAAGGACAGGGGAGGAAGGAGTGCTGACCAGCCTGACCTGCTCTCCTGGGCCTGTCACATCAGCAAAACAAGCTCATTTGAGATGGAAGGACAAAAATGTTTCCTCTGTGAGGAGGGGACACCGGCATTCTAGTTGAAGGAGTGCAGCTTTGTCCTAGGAGTCATCTGATCTGGACAGGGGCCCAGTTCTCCAGCGAGGTCTGACCCCCTTGCCACTGTGTCTGCAGCAGCTCTCTCTGTGTAGCTTTCTCTCCTCTGTCTCACCTGGGTGTCCCTTGCTGAGGGGTGCAATGGGATAGGGAAGTCCATGGAGACTTGGGTGGGATCAGGGTAACTGTGCGGCAGGACCCAGATGGGGGCCTGCGCCACGTCAGCACCCAAGACCATGAGGCACGGGCAGGCTGGACACCCTGAGGGCAGAGAGGACAGGGGACAGGCACTGTGGGTTTCAGAAGTGCTAGGCTTGAGTTCTTGGTTTTGCCACTGACCATGTGACCTTTGGACAATCATTTTACTCCTTCTTTAGCTTGTTTTTGTGGTAGTAAAGACAGCCTTACCTATGACATGAAATCATAACTACCGAGAAAACCTATCTGGAAGTTCTGCACTCTCAAACCCTGTGCCAACGAAAGCTGTCATAAAATCCAGTCCCTGCCTTTGGGGATTTGATCATCTGGTGGGCAGGTAAACACAAGTACACATGAGAAGGTACAGTAAAACCTGCAAAAGCCAGAACCTGTAAAAGTGGAAACCTATCAGAGAAAGAAAATGCAAATATTTTCCACTAAAGCCGGTGACAGAAAAGTGGTTAAGACTGCACCCTGTCAAAGGTGGAAAACTTGCAAGACCCAGAAAAACAAGGCAGCTCCGTCGCATTTTGGCTCTCGCAGGTTTCACCGTACTTTCTCCTACACTGCAGTCTGGGATCAGTGCTGGGTGACACAGACAAACGCTGCACCCAGAGCAGTGAAGAGTCACCTGCGGGTGGGGTGACAAGGGAAAGCAACAGGAGAAGGTGGCCTCTGAAAGACAGGGAAATGAGCTGGGTCAGTGGCAGAGGGGAAAGGGCGTCCCAGGCAGGGCAGAGCCTGACAAAGAGGTGGCAATGATTCTAGTCCAGCAACTCAGTGTGTTAGAGGTTGCAAACTGGTGAAAAATTCAACCAACCCAAGCGGCACGTGTTTTACTTGGATCCCACAGTGTTTGTTTGCTTGATTGTCTAACATTGTCTGGCATTTTAAAATAGAGATTAAATCATTTAATATCCAAAGTTCCAGTTCTTTTGAAAAACCAGACCTGGCCATGCTGGGTTCATTTTCCTGGCAGGCAGGAACCCTGTACGGTTCCTGACAGGTTCATGCCACATCCTCTCCACTGCCTGCTGTCTTTGCAACCCAGTCCACTTTACCTGTTCCCATAACTGCCTGATCCCACCAGCATTTGAGCTTGTGACCCCTGGGTAAAGAAAGCTTCTGTTTGGAAAGGAGGCTCATGAAGGGAGCTTTGTGAGGGGAGACACCCTGAAGAGAGGAGATATATACCAAACCAAAGTTACCAGCTGACCCTCTGCCAGCTGGCCTCCCGGCTGCCACCCAGCCCACCCACTCCTGCACACCTGACATCTTTGCCCACAGTCATTGACGCAATCACTTTCTTCACCGCCTCTTTCTTCTTCTCCTTCTTGTCACTATTGAGCTCTGCCTTCAGCTCGAAGATCTCCCCTGAGAAAAGGAGGCAGTCATGAGCCATCTATCCACACCCTGCTAGGGGATAATCACCTCCCCAACGCCCCCCTCCCTGCTCCTGAAGGAACCAGAGAGAGGTAAGGAAGGTAACTGTGCTGGTGGCTGAGGGCAGCTCTAGGTCCTCAGCCTCAGGTGGGACAGAGCAGTGTAGGGACTAGAATGGCTGCCAGGAGAAGAATCGTCAAGATGCCATGATGGATTGCACAGATAGGACCCGTCAGAGCTACAAAGGTTCTGCAGGAGACAAAAGGACGCAGGCAGGGCCTGCTCAGCCTGACTGCTAAAAACGCTGAGAGGACACACGAGTTCTCCTCAGTTACTTGCCACCTAAGGCACTCAAGGCTAAATGTGACAGTATCTGGGAACTTCAGCTTGAAGGGTGAGGGTGTATTTGATCAATTCCCACACGTAGGCTCTTCCTGTTTTCCTAGAACATCCAGTGACAACCGCTTGCTCAGGGTTTCACTTCCTGAGCCACAGTGGTTGCTTAGGCTCTGAAGACAGGAATTCAGCTGCCCCGTGAGGGCCCCAGCATGTAATAAATTGTTCTCAAGAACTTGATGATAAGGAAAAAGCCAATGAGGAAGTAGGGCTGTTCAATGGCCTGCCACGGAGAGGTAGTCAGGACCCCCACCGTGGGTAAGAGGGCAGACTTTGGAGCCAGACCAGCCTCCTGGTCACAAAATGACAACAGCTGGCATTTCCTGACCTCTTTTCCAAGCCAGGCACCACACTAACTTCTTCCCACACATTTTCTCATTTCATCCTCACAACTCTGAGTTCTCCCCATTAGACAGCTGAGCAAATGGAGGCTTTATGAAATCCAGTTATTTGCTGCTGACACTGACAGTCAGTAGGTGGAGGGCCAGGATTCAAACCCAGCTCAGCCAGCTCGAAAGCCGGTGCTTTTGATCTCGGTGCCCTGGTCCACCTGGGATGGCTCCCTCAGCTTCTCTGCACCCATTTCCTCGTCTGGACTTGCTGCCTTTCCCGAGGTGTTGCCTTATCTCATTTAATCCTCACACGTGAAAGCCCCACCTCAGGGCCAGGCACTCAGTGGGCCTGCACTGACAGTGCCACTGTCACGATTCACTCATCATGTCCCTGGCCTTGGGTCCCTCTTGTAGAATCAGAGTCCTGGGCTTCCCTCTTGAGTCACTGGGGGTGGGGGAGATACAGTGACTATCATTGGGGGGAAAGTGCTGAAGAAGGTGGATTTACAGTAAGAAGAGGAAACCTCGTAGGTTTCTATCACGACTGAGCCGGACAACGTGGAGGTCAGCAAAGAACTTGAGACAGAGACAACAAAAAAAGGTTAATTAAGATTAGCCACAGCACAGCCAGGGACAGGGCCACATTGAGGATATTGCTCAACAAGGCCAGGAGGAATCTGCAGACCTTGCAGTTCAAATTTATGACCATGCAAGGCTGAAGGGACACACAACCTTCTGTCCCAAGACACTGAGGGGCCCATGTCCCCGGTGCTGGGATCTAACAAACCATGATGACCTTTACCCTCGCCCCCCCGAAGGATTGCCTCTGTTCTGCTCACAGGCCCATCAACTGAATGGTCCAGGCCTGAGTCACCTCAGCCCCAAGAAAGTTGGTGGCTGAACTTGGGGTCTGCCTGCTTCTGAAACACCTCCTTCTTCTATGGGCCTCAAATCCATGAGTCACCAATCCCAGCACCCAAACCACTCGAGGCATCCAGTTCTCTCTCCTCCCAGTGCTGCCCCTGGTTCAGGCGCCATCATCTCTGATCTGAGCCATGGGTCTGGTCTCCCTGCCTCTCTCCAGCTTCACTTTCCCAACCATGTGTAGAGCCTGCCTCAGACATCCTCTCCCTTAAAATCATCACATTCAAGATGAGAACCTGGACATCTCTCTCTAGACAGTGCCCCCCCACCAAAAAAACCACAAAAAACCTATTGTCATCAAGATGATTCCAACTCATAGCAATCCTATAAGGCAGGACAGAGTAGAACTGCCCCATACAGTTTCCTAGGCTATAATCCTTTTTTTTTTTCCAATTGTGATTTGAGTAAGAGTTCACAGAGCAAATTCATTTTCCATACATCACTTCATACATATATTGTGTCATGACACTGAATGCAATTCCCCACAATGTAACAGCTCTCTTGCTACTTCCTCCCTGTAGTTACCTCTTTCCTGTATCTCCTTCCTATACATTCCTGCCCCCCAAGCTATCTCCCTGTGCAAACACTGCCCTTCCGATCTCCCATGACTGATCATTCTAAGGAGTGTATCTACCTGATGTAAATGTTCACCCAATACTAGGCTGTAATCTTTACAGAAACAGACTGCCACATCTTTCTCCCATGGAGCAACTGGTGGGTTCAGACCAGTGACCTTTTGGTTACCAGCCAAGCTCTCAATCATTGCACCACCACTGCACCTTAAACCTACTGCCATTGAGTTGATTCTGACTCATAGTGACCCTATAGGACAGGGTAGTACTCCCCCACAGCATTTCTAAGGCTGTCAATCTCTAAAGAAGCAAACTGCCACATCTTTCTCCCATGGAGTGACTGGTGGGTTTGAACCACTGACTTTTCAGTTAGCTGTCAAGTGCTTTAAGCACGATACTACCAGGACTCCTTCCCCTCCAAAAAAGAGACCCTGCAAAAACCTACCACTGACACCCCAACCACTTAGCACTCATCATCCCTCCGGTCTGGCTCACCAGGCTCTACCTGACCTGGTCCCTCAAACCTCTGCAATCTCTTCTCTCATCCCTCTTCTCACTCACTCCTGCTCAATGACTTTCCTCTCCCTGAATGTGTCGGGGCAGAACACTTGCACCCCTCTCCTCACCCACCCCTCCCTCCATGCAGCCAGCCATTCCCAGTGCCCCCACAGCTCCTACATGTCCCTCATCACAGCACCCAACAGCCAGGTCAGAGACTCTGTCTGTCTTCTCCACTGCATGGGGCAGGTGTTCAGTAACAACTCACTGGACAGGTACCCGAAACGCCCAGTGAAGGGCAGCTATCCAGTCCTGGTTCAGCGGCTCTAACAATAGACTCCTGACCTGGTCAGCAGGCACGTGTCAGTATCACTTAGAAGGAAGGAGGGAGGAAGGAAGGGCTGGTCAAAGATGCTCCCAGGCATGGAGCACGTATGTCAGCCACGACAATATCCTCCATTTCCCTAAAAATGGAAAGGCCCAAAATACCCAGCAGCATAAGACTAGCTTGGCAAATTTCAGTTCAGCAACTCAACAGATGAACAGAAAGTCGTTAGCTACTGTTTGTGATAATGTCAAATGAAAAACAGGATGTGAACGTTGACTGCAACCATGCCAAACGTGCTCGTGGATAAGGACCCAGTACACACACCCCTAATCACTGCAGGGCTGCTGACAGCCTCGTGTGTGTTTTCTATCCACCAGATAACAAAAACACCACATTTAACAATTTTAAGCCATAAGGGAAAAAGAGAGAAGGGCTTTTTCCTATACGTGCCGTTAATGCTGTTCCTTTCTGGAGTTTTAACAAACCCCAACCAAACCCGCTGCCATCAAGGCGATTCTGACTCATAGCAACGCTCATAGGGTTTCTAAGGCTAGAAATCTTTACTGAAATAGACTGTCTCATCTTTCTCTTGCATAGCAGCTGGTGGGTTCAAACCGCCAATCTTTTGGTTAGCAGTCCAATGCTTTAACCACAGTGCCACCAGAGCTCCTTTGAGTTCTAGTAAGAGCAGGTCATTTTCTTACACCACCAACAGCTCGCTTTTCCTGATCTGCAAGGTAAGGGGGCTCTGGGGCATTCCCACCACCTGCTGCCGGTGCCTTTACCTCCCACCGCTCATCCCTATAGGGGTTCAGCAGAAAAAGGTAGTGGAGAAAGAGTAGGCCATAGCCTCACTATGAAACAAACAGTACCTTTCTTGGTAGTGGTGAAGTATTTTGAGTCAGTCATTTTGGTTCCTTATTGGTGGCCAGACTCTGCAAGACAGAAGAAAGGGGTGACTTTCAGTTATGTTCTATTTTCAGTTACAGCGCAGAAGAGGAAGGGGAAAGGATTCCACACGGATGGGGTACAGGGAGATGGTTTTTTGTCTCTTTACGGGGGAGATAATCTGTTAGGTAACAGCTGGTCAGATCTTGGAGGGCAATTTTGACCAATCTACCCAATTTTTTTTTAATGTGCATCTCTTCTGACTCAGCAGTTCTACTTCCAGGAATCTCTCCCGCAGAAATATCTGCAGAAAGATACTTATATAAGGGTTTTCTTACAGTTCCGTCCCTAATAATGCCCAACTAGAAAGAAGTGTCCATTAATAGAGTAGTGGGTAAGCTCTGTAAGAGTTCACAGACATGAAAAGGTACTTACAAATATAATTACAGTAGCCCCTGCATGAAGCTCACTCTATGCCAGGCACTGTTGCAAGTGCTTCACACATGTCAAAGCACTAAAGCCTGGTCACAGCCTCTGGAGGTGCTATTAAAGCCAAACCGACCCACTGCCACTGAGTGGATTCTGGCTCACAGCAACCCTATAGGACAGAGTAGAACTTGCCCCATAGGGCTTCTAAGGCTGTAAATGTTTACAGAAGCAGACTGCCCCACCTTCTTCCATGGAGCAGCTGGTGGGTTTGAACTGCCGACCTTCTGGTTAGCAGCTGAGCTCTTAACCACTGCGCCACCAGGGCTTCCTATATAGTCAAATGAGTTTGGAAAATACTGGGTTTACAAAACTAGATAGCAACGGAACAATCAGAATAGGAAAAATGAGAATGTTCACACATTGTGAAGAATATAACCAATGTCACTGAAAACCTGCGCATAAATTGCTGAACGGGAACCCAAACTACAGTATAAACCTGCACTGAAAAAAACACCACAGACCGCATTTAGAAAATGAAGAAGATCCTGGAAAGAGTGGGACAGCATTGTGGCATGAAACTCGGAATCATAACAATGACCAGGTTTGCTGGGCTAGTGAGACTGCCGAGACTATGGCCCCTAGTTACCCTTCAGATCTGGAACTGAGCTCACTCCCATGGCTTCCAGCCAAACATTAGCTAGGCACAGAAGGGTGAACATTTACACTAGGTAGATGCACTCCTTAGAATGATCAGCCATGGGAGAACAGAAGGGCAGTGTTTGCACAGAGAGACAGCTCAGGGGGCAGAAATGCATAGGAAAGAAGGACACAGGGAAGAGGTAACTACGGGGAGGAAGTGGGAAGAGAGCTGCTACATTGTAGGGAATTGCAGTCAGTGTCATGAAACAGAATGTGTATGAACTACTGTATGGAAAATGAATTTGCTCTGTAAACTTTCACCCAAATCACAATAAAAATTAAAAACAGGAAAAAAAAAAACCAAAAAACAAAACTCTACCACTTCTGGGGTTTCTGTTACAGTGGCATGTGCTATTCATCTCTAAGAGGACTAGACCGTATAGGTATCCCGCTTTTCAAAAGTTTGTTTTACAACATTTCACTTTCATGAAAGACCTGCATTATCTGTTTTTGCTAACCAAAAGAAATCTGAAGAAAATTTTTCATTTTATGATAAAAGGCAAAAAGCGACCCTGGCACTCAGCATGTTTTGCAGTAAGCCATTAAAGGGACAGCGTGCACGGTGGGCAGCGAGAGAGGCACCACCAAGCTATGAGCTCCTCCCCAGGAACTACACTCAGCATCTCAGCATCAAGCCACCCCAGCCTTCAGCTGTGTCCACGAACACTCTAGGTTAGTGTTAGTCTAGATTTTGTGTGTTATTTGCTATGATTTGGTAGGTTATGTCTGGGGTCTGGGGAACGCTCAAAAATGTTTCTCATATATATTAATGGTACTCTACTTTTGGATAGCGGGGAAACCCACATAGCCTGCAGACTCTAGAGTGTTTCCCAAACCCGTCTGACCTGCTTTCTTAAAGCATCTCTCAGGCATCTTCCAGTGCAGAACTCGCAATGTGAAGGCCTGTTCTAAGGCAACAGGACAAAGAGTGTACAAAGCTCACTCGTTTCTCAATAAACGTTTACTGAGCACCTACCTACTGTGTACCTCAAGAGGTCCACAGGTGGTAAAAACAGTTAGCGCTGGACTGCTAAACCCATCCAGAGTATTGCAGCCTGGCCATCTGCTTCTGCAAAGATTACAGCCTGAAGAAAATCCTCTGATTTTCAGTAGAGCTGACAAGGGACAAGATTGTAGTCACTTCTTGGTCACAACCAGCTACCCAGAGGGAGCAAGCAGTTGAACCTGTGGGCTTGCGATTACAGTCACAGGGGACATCAAACTCAATTGGCATAACATAATACACAAAACAATGTTCACCTCCTACTTTGGCAAGTAGCAACTGGGATCTTAAAAGCTTGCAAGCAGCCATCTAGATACAACGATGGGTCTCTTCTCGTCCAGAGCAAAGAAGAATGAAGAAAACTAAAGATTCATGGAAACAATTAGTCCTAACTGACTGGTACGCCACGCAATCTTCAGCCTATATGACTATGAGACCAGAAGAACTAGATGGTGCCTGGCTACTACTGTCAACCACTCAGAGGAAGATCTATGTAGGAGATCCTGGATAGAGAGGGAGAACAATGTGGAAAAAAACTCAAAATCATTTGGAAAAAAAAAGGGGGGGGGGACCAGGTTTGCTGGTCTGATAGAGCCTGGTGGAACCACTGAAGACTATGGCTCCTAGCTGCCCTTCAGGTCTGGAACTGAACCCACACCTGTGGCTTCCAGCCAAACAAAAGACAGGCATAGGAGTTGAATATTTACCTGAGATAGATATACTGCTTGGAGAGAACAATCATGGAGAAAGAAAGGCTATTTATGCACAGGGAGACACTCAGGTGGCAGGAAGGCATGGAGGGATGGACATAGGGAAGAGGTAACTATGGGGAGGAAGTGAGAGGGGAGCTGTTGCACTGTGGTAAATTACAGTCAATGTTATGAGACAAAGTATATGTGAACTGCTGTATGGAAAATGACTTTGCTCTGTAAATTTTCACCCAAATCACAATTAACACACACAAAAAAAAAAAAGAAAGAAAGAAAATCCTGTACAGCACAGTTCTATTCTGTAACACATTGGGTTGCCATGAGTCAGAGTCCACTTGATGGCAACAGGGTTTTTTCTGGATGTACCTCAATAGTTCTTCCTGGTCAAGAGATGACAGCTAAAAATGTCACACAGCAGGCATGGGCTGTACGTTTGTTTTAGGTAGAAACACTCCTTGGAGAGATCCATCATGGGTGAATAGAAGGGATGTGTATGCACAGGGAGACAGCTCGAGGGGCAGGAGTGCATGGAGGGAAGGACACAGGGAAGAGGTAACCATGGGGAAGAAGTGGGAGGGGAACTGTTGCATTGTGGGAAACTGCAGTCAATGTCATGAGACAAAGTATATGTGAAGTGTTGTATGGAAAATGAATTTACTCTGTAAACTTTCACCCTAATCACGATTAAAAAAAAAAAAAAAAAATCGGTGCTAATAACCAGAGGAGGAAACTATTAAAAAAAAAAAAAAAAAATCGGTGCTAATAACCAGAGGAGGAAACTATTAAAAAAAAAAAAAAGATGTCACATAGGAGTCAAGTATTCTGGATATGTGGCAGAGGCTCCTGGGACTGTTCTAACAGGTATTAAGAAGCTATCATTTGCGGTGTCCCTGTTAAAGCCCAAGGTAGCATAGGGGGTAAGGCATTTGGCTGCTAACCAGAAGGCTGCTGGTTCAGACCTACCAGCTGCTCTGCAGGAGGCCTTGGAAACCCAACGAGAGTTGCTATAAGTCAGAATCAACTTGATGGCAGTGGGTTTTGTTTTAATTAAAACCCAGAGATGTATTGCCATTTTCTCATTTAATCCATCATCTTTAATCCCACCATGAGGTAACTGCTTTTAATCCCATGGAAGAGGCAACTGAGGTTTAGGGACGTTACATAACTTCTCAAGATCACAAGGCTTCCAGTGGCTAGGCTACCACCATGGGTCTTCCTGCGATTGGAGCCTGTGCTCTATAGACAAAGGACTCCCGCTCCCACCATCTCAGAGGTGAGGACAGAGCCCTGACAGTGGCTAAGAACTCACTCCTAAAACCCTGCAACCTTCTAGAAGTTTCACGTGATACAGAAAACCATATCATCCAAAAATGAGAAACTGGAATGAAGAAAACTCATTCCATGTTGTCCCCTCTATTGCTCTGTGGAACAGACTCACACAACCCATCAGCATGTTCCTTCAATTCCTTCCTGTGTGAGGGTGACATGAGGTGACTAGTGACTGGGAGGGCTCATTTCAAAAGTATCTGGAAATGAGGTCGACAAGGCTTCTCTCCAGACCAACTGGATTGTCCCAGCTCAAGCTTGTAGTCATGGCAGGGTAGCACTGGGATGTTTCCAAGCTGAGAGACACCCACAGATTTTGTTTCAGTAACCAATGGGAAACGAGTATACACAGACTCTGAGCTGCCTTAAATCCTAGGTGGACTTGCTGACGGAACAGTACAAAGAAAGGCACAATTCCATTTTCCTTTTGCTTTGCAAAGCTGAAAAGGGATGATGGCACTTTTCTATAGGAGCTTCGAGAAAGAGCAGAAGAGAGGCTGTGTCTGATGACTGAGGTCCGCCCCCAATCCAGGGAGTCTGCCTTGATGGTCCTCACAATGTTGACCTTCCCACAAAAGGAAGATCGTGTTGGCCTGGTTCTCTGTTCCACTCCCCCTCCCGTTCATGCCCGGCCCAGGGCTTGGCATATGGCAAGTGCTCAATTAACAGTTACTGAAGGGAACGAAAAGGGGCCACTGAAGACCCCAGGAACCTCTGCCTGGCTTTAGGCAGCTCTCTTTGTAACTATTTAGCATTTTTTTCCAACAGGAATTTACTTACATTTTTCAAAAACAAAACAAAACGGTGTTTTTTTTTTTTTTTAAAAAAAACAAAGAAACACATAAAGCCATCTT